TTCTTAAACAGCTTGAATAAGCCGGTTGTCAAGTCTTAGCTCACCTTTTGGGCTTTTAAAGAAAGTGATTTCAAATCGATTAGGAAATTCAACTACTCTTAACAGGTTGGCAACTTAAGCTCTCTAATTATTGTGAGTGTGTGAGTGCAACAAATAATACCTGATATATTCCCAAGATCTTTGCCAAGCAAGTTGGGCCTCCTGTCTTGATTGATTTAGATAAATACTTGAAATAATCAGGTCCAAACTTCAAGAATGACTCTAGCTCTGTCTTTGTAACTTGTTTGATGATGAATCGATCATCCAAGGTCTTTGCAAAGAAGACATTACTCTTGCCACCTTGGGCACCCCACTTCTTACAACGACTTAGAGACCGTATAAAATCTAGCTCAGAAGGGCAGCAAATCCTCCTCAAGGACTCAAACTGCTTAGCATAGTAACAGGTCACAGAATATCTGACCTTGCCAAGAGGACTATCATCTGTAAAGGAAATCCTGGCATGGAAGTCCTTCGTGCAGAGCAGTGGGTCAGCACCCTGGGAGGTTCGGGATGGAGATTTAGAGGAGATAATTTCCTCACCAGATCCTGAACTTCTAAAGGAATCTGGCAATGTTTCGTCGAAAGAGCTAAGGGAGAGCAGAGTCACTGAATCAAAAAGGGATAATGTAACTGCAGTGTCTGAAGCATCTTTGGCTATGTCCAGCTCAGACATCTGGACATGATAATCAGATGACACAAGTGCATATGCTACAACACTAGTGGGCTCATCATCATAAACAGGCACAACTGTGTCATTAACACCAACAGGAAGAAGCAACCTTGCCCCACTTCGCTTTTCCAACTCCCTAAATGACAAGACATAGACAGGGTTGTACTCACCAACAACTAGCTTTGGAGAATTCAATGAAGAAATATTGCCGAATGAAGCATTGGAATTTGAAGAAGGCATCCTTGCCACACTCATAGAATTTTCCACAAATTCAGGTTCCTTCGTAGGTGAAACAGACGGAGAGGAACGAGCCACATCAGGCCCACCGTGATCAATTCTACTGACTCCAAGATCTGAATTTACAGCAACTGTTTTTACCACTGTTGATGGATCTATCAAGGAAGAATCAGGAATAGAATGGTCATTCTCTTTAGCTGATATGCTACCTGGATGACCTCCACCCGTCCAGGCAGTCTCAAGTGTATCAGATAAATTTGCCATAAGTGGAAACTCAACCTCTGAGAGGGCACTTCTTGCAATTTTTCCAGATTCTAGAGGTTTACATTTTTCACTGGAAGTCACACTAGGACAAAGAGAAGGCTTATTGCCCTTTCTATTATCTAGGTGCTGATCCATGCCATGATCTTTATGATTATCATCCGTCTCAATATTACCACTATTTCCTCCTTGATAGAGGCTAATATTAGGCCTGGTCTCCACACCGACAAGGTCAGAATTATTTAATGCTTTACCAGGCTTGGGACTGACGTTCATCTCATCAAGTTTCTCCACAGAACTTGCAGGCTTCAATAAAGGTTTTCGCACAGAACTTCCTATAACTTCTTGGAGATTTTTGTTAGTTAAACTGGATGCATGCCCTATCAGGTGACGGTCCCAAACATAAGAATGGAAGAGTATCTGCCTCTGCAGCTTATTGATCTCAAGAATATCAATTGATGGTTGGCCAGCTCTCCCTTCCCTAGACACTGCTTTCTGAAAAGATTCCTAAGAGTAATGATACTATATATCAGTAGCCAGATGGTTAAAGGATCTTAGCTTTATGCATAGAGCAGAAACAAATATAGCCACTTGATTGAAATAACATGTATATGGTTAGACAGAGCCAAATTGGAAAATTCATTTCAGTGTAATTATTTTTCTTTGTATCAGTTCAGCTTCGGGTAGGAGAATCTAAAAACTAAAGGATTCAGTTTTCAATTTACAACTTCCAAAGACAATTAATATCAACACAAACTGACATACTGTTTAAAAAGTTTACTAGGTGGTTGTAATAATGAATTAATTTTTCAAAAATGCCCCACTCAAACCCAACTAATTGACAGAAAACTAGAGAGGAAGAAAAAATTGTAACCAAAAACCAAACCAAAACTTTCATTTCAGATTATAATAGTGAAGCACATTCAACCATCCATACCAAACCTACTAAACTACTTGGCAGGCTTGCTTGCGCAATAACCATGACAATAGACAGCAATATTGTTGCTTAAGAATGGAGGCATGATGAATCTCAAACTAGCTACCTGGAATTCTTCTGTGTCTTTTTGCAGCATGAGTTCCATTTCTTCAATATTGATTCTTCTATCAGGTGCCTTCGAGCCACCATAAGGTGACCTTGAATCTGAAATTTTCTCTGACATCTTTTGAAGGATATTTTGCACTTCATTAAATAGTATTTCTGCCCTGCTTTTCACCTGTTAAACAATATATGAATCTTATAAGCATTGTAAAATTCAGAATGGCCAACTGAAGTGATCAAGGATTTATAATCTCCAAACCTCATCTACTTCCTTTTTGATCCACTCTTGGGTGTCATGATTAAATTCCAGCTTTGGAGGTGGAAGGTAAACAGAATGCACATGAATTGAAGCATATTGGAAGCAAGCAACCATTCTCCCGAAACTGCCACATGACAAGAGATGATGTTAGAGGACACTAATCAACAGTTTGTTTTAGTCCCTTCTGAAGCACTTAAGACATGTTAGAAATTATTTGACCCATGTAAGAACCTATTAGTATTTTAACCAGCTACATTCCTGAAGATCATTCACAGAATGATGAAAGACAAGGATAGTGGCCCTGAAAACATAGACCATATGCTGGCCCAGGGTAAGGAACCACATGCAAACATAGTCCAAATCAAGGTCAAATCACTGACCAATATTGCAATGTAGTCAAGCTCCAGGCACAAACAAATTACACTCTTCAGGGAAACACTTCATATCTACCATGTAAATACTGCTTGAGAAAGCATACCCATAGAACCGAAGACAATCTCTGTGAAGGGAATGGCCACAGCTCGCAACTCTGCTTGCAGCTGCATGATTAGAAAAGCTCAGCTCCAAAAATTTCCCAAAGGATAAACCCCAGGCAGCATCTGACATTACAACCCTCCGAGTGGCTGGAGGGAATCCACTGATTCGAGGACATCGCAAGCACCTATGCCACATCCAAATTTTGCCTTCTCTCTCTCCTGGTAAGGTAAACTCTTCCAGTTTCTTAACAGATATAGTAAGGCTTCCTTGCCGGTGAGTATAACAACGAACATGTGCCTCAGACGGCATTTCACATGAACGGCATTGGTAACTCTGAAAAATAAGTTTCAAGTTATGGTTATTAGACAACAAAGGAGTTATCTTTCACATAAAATAATCATCATGAGACTTGAAGTACCTGATCAAACAGATGATCTCGTAAAAACCACCCCAATGGCTTATCAAAATTCCCATAGTATTTGATTCGAAAGATATGAGCCCATTCACACACAGTGCCCTTCCACTCACAACATGTTGATAAGGACACCAAAATGCTCTGGTGGTCTGAAGGTGATGGAGGAAACTCTTCCTTTGAAGCTCCCATCTCTTCAGTGTTACTATTAGAATCATCTTTTGAAGTTGCAAACTGGGGACCCAATAGGTGATTTGCAACCAATGTATTGCTATCAGCTTGATTTCTGAGAAGACCTTGTTCTGATGCATCCGACAAGTGACAACAATCAGAAAGTAGCCTATCATCCATCAGAGATTCTGCATTACTAGATGTTTTGTCTTCAATGGGTTCTTTAGGACCCACTGCATCATCCTCTCTAGAAGCAAAATTTGTGGAAGGCTCATTATTGCAAGAAGAAATATTCTTCCCTAAAGAAGCCAGCAAATTGAAGGAGGCAGTAGCTACAACAGAGCTTGAGGTGGATTCTTGACAGGAAGTCTGAGAGATAGGCCCTTTTGACAAGTGATTTGAACTGGCCCTGGCCTCTTCAAAATTGCAAGTGGGCACAGTATTGGAGGGTGAGGCTCTGCCCAAGATAAGGCTGTTTGATTTCTGTGGTTCACTAATAGGCTGGGATGCCATAGGCTTTCCAGTACTGGGGACAGCAAAACCAGGTATGATGGAAATGGACTTTTCAATAGTTGATGGCTTATCAGGTAAAGCAACAGCTATAGGAGATTTCAAAGGGAGATTCGGAAGTGATGCACCTTCATCAGCCAGAAATGATGTCTCAAGAGCCAAATGATAAGCGGCAAAAACAGCATATTGGACCACGTGTTTCACTTTCTTTAACTCATCTCCATTGGCACCCTTGAGTAAAATCTGAAACAAAGTAAAATTGATTCATGATCCATTTGAGTAAAACATACAACTCTATACCCAGTAAAATAGGTTAAAATGGGTACAATAGTCACTCAAAAGTGAAATACAATATCCTATGACTGGCATATTAGAAGACTGAATAAATTGAAGACCCTTAATCCACCTACTGTGACATTAACTATAACAACCAACCAGAATATAAGCAACCATCCTAGTCTCTTCTCCATTATATTTTAAGTTCACCCTGAAATATAAATACACATGGCAATCCCTAGCTTCCATGTCTGAGTCTAAAACTAAGCAATATTTATTACACTCAATGATCCAGATTCAAAAGCTTTACAAATCGTAACAGACTCTTCAGTGTGGATATGTTTTGTGTTCTATAGCACTTACAGTAAAACCCAGAGGCCTGGGGCATCCCTCAAAGAACATTAGAGTTTTCGTCAACTTCTTCTCATCTTGCCCTGCACTTCCATGCACTTCAAAAAATTTGTCCACATGGAATGTGTCACAGTACCCCAGCTTCTGTGATGTAAGATGATCAATGGACGGGGCTATTTCTGCCCCAGTACAGCGTGCTATACGCTCTAAGAGTGACCTTTTAATATTCAGAACAAGTGATATGTCTTTTGCAAGAAGGTACTCCTGTGCATGCCTAGATACTGACTTCTCCACTAATAGAACATTAGGGCGGTAGGCATAAATCTTAGCAACTGCCATCTTCAAATGGTCCATTTCCTGCAGAAGTGCAAAGAGCTTGTTAGAGCATGTAATAACCTTAATGGCTTATTCAGCTCCAAACAGTGCGTATCAAAGATCTCCTGGTTTGACCCCTAGTAGAAACCTAGACACTTGAAATTAATTGACAAACCTAAAGAAAAGAAGAGGTTATCAATTAAAACCTGCTGTAATAAAGTATCCAAACTCGACAAGTGATTAGCAACACGCTGATACTCCAAAGCTCCTCCAAGAATTAGAAGCCGCGGCTTATCTATTTTTGATGTCATTCGCCGATGAGCCACATTTTTCTTACAAACAACTCCTTTAACCACAGTACTACAAGAAATACCACCAAAATCACATTAGTAAATGGAATGTAAGAAGCAACAAAAACATATAACACCTAGCGAAGCCTTCTTAAAAGTACATCAAGGTTGTGAATAGGAAATGCATTTTCATGAATCACTACATTTTAGCAGGTTACATTTTTCAGTACAAGTTACAACCAACCAGACGAAATTGACATCTCGAGGGCATTCTCCCCATTAGTTCCCTTGGACTAGATTCACCACAACGGCAAGCTAAAAAGTGAGCTGCATGGATATTCAGAAATTATAGCCCACTAAAGATAAGAGCCTGGGCATATTGTAAAAACATTTGAGGCATCTTATGAAAATAAACTCCCAACAACGGAAAAAGGGAAAATGAATGACTGGTCAGATTGAAAATAATAAGATCCTGACCTGTAAATACCAAAGAAACTGGAAGTATGTTGAACAACTATAAAATCAGATCCTCTCGTTAAAGTTGGTTGAATGCTAAAATGTGGTTACTTTTATTCTCAACAATTAATAGGAAAAATAACTAAAATACATAAATCTAACCATATTAGAGATCAGTTGCCACATGCTAAGAACACCATAAAGGTTAGGTTCTTTGTACCAAAACAAAAAAAAAAAAAAAAAGAGGTTTTGTTAGTTAGAAGAACAATTAACATATTTCAAATTCAGTCCAGAACATTACCTTTCATTCCGATTCCCACAAGCTACGCATTTAACCTTCACATATCCTCCTGGATCCATTCCTCCTCCCCTGCTTGTATCTGGCTTAAGGAGTGTAGCAGCCTCCCATGACAAAGATGTGATTATATCCAACCAACTTTCTCTGCCATCTTCATCACCGACAGGCAGGTTCTCAACCTGCAAAAGCTGAGCTACCAAAGCTCTAAAATGCCCTTCCACCACATTTTTCATGGCCCTCTTGTGCTCCTCAATTGACTTATCCCTATTGCGGTATTCCCCACCACCAAAACTATTTGATCGTAAATATCCCCACTCCCCTGTAGCATCATCATCATCTTCATCAAATAAAAGAGCTTCTCTCTCATCCTCTTCATCCTCTGGGTCAGGAGGTAGCCAAAGTAGCCCATTGTTATCAAAATCTACACGTTCAGTGTCTGCACCATTCACATCATACCCAGGAACATTATATGCAACACCATTATCAGGCTTATCCACTTCCTCAACTTTATCGATTTCATGTGCTTCCTGAGAATTAAAGTTCTGAGGTAATTGTGAGCTACTTAATGTTCCTGCATCAATGTTATCTCCATCAAGTTGCACTTTATTTGATCCATGGTCATGATTGATTTCATCAAAATTGATAGCAGCAACATAATCTTCGGCCTGAGAATAATGCCTTTGTTCAGAATCTGAATAATAAGCACCATAATCATCATCTTCATCATCACTCCTGACAGCAACAGTTAAAAAATAATAGACAGATCAATAGTTGCAACCCATAATGCACTTGCAAAAATTAGATTGAAAGCTTGCAGTAATACATCATGCAATGAAGAAGATACCTGTTACCAGAAAATCCAAAATGATTTGGAGATGAATCTAACACAGCTTCACTTGGATTTGTGCCCCTCCCAGGTGTTTCATTGTTTTGCTCAAATGATGGGGCGTTCATTTGGGCAGCTTGACGGGGACTAGGACAAGAATCGTAGTTGACACAGTGGTAAGGACCAGTTGAATAAGGAGTAGAACCAACACTGCTGCCGCTATTATTACTAGTGCAGCTCGACTTGGTGCTGACCAAGCTCGTGGTAGATGGTGAAGGACTGAGAACGGGACTAGGTGCATTGGTCCCACCATCAACTCCTGATATTTCCTGCTGCCGCTGCTTGAAACAATAATTGCATACTCTAACCCTCTCCCAATCTTCCCGACTGGACCTTGGCTCATAAAATGGGGGAGGAACCCAGTTTGCCGTGCACCTGCCACAGAAAACCCTGCCACAAAGCCGACAATGATGCTTCCGGTTGAATACGGTAAACTGGGAGTCACACGCGTAGCATACCCTACAACTCTTATCGGGCATCCAAAATTCCTTGGACAAAGTCGGCGGCTCACTCCACCTACCGATCCACGACCACGACTTCACAACATCAACCAACCTATAATCAGGAGTTCCCATCAACAAAACTGTTCCGCCGGAAGCCCTCTCAAAGTGAAACAACACTCATTTCTCACTCACCTCAAATCACCAACCGCAAAATGAAACCCCAAACAAAATCAAAATCAAAACAAAGACTCCATAAACACATATAAACACATAATCTCAGAACTGCGGAAAAAAGAAAAAAAAAAAAATTACTTCATCAATTCTCAAAAATCACCCGATTGATGAACTCATGAACTCAACAAATTAGAAAAATGAATCGCGCAATCAACAAAACTAAGCCAAAAACAATCGACTCCAAACTTAAATCAGCTGGATTCAGCAGCTCAAACTGAAAGCAGAAAAAATCGAACCTCCAAGGAGCAAATCCAAATGCATCCATTACAGCTGCAATCAATTCTCGAACTAAATCCAGGAATCTTCTGAGCAGCTTCTGGTGAATAAGGACTTGATTAGGCGACTAGATTGTAGTTTGGTTGTAAGTTTTGTGAGATTTTGGTTTCTATCATCTGTTTGTTTGTGGTGCCCTTTGCGGCTTTGCCGTTGGTGGTTTCGTTTCTTGTTCACTTAAATATGATAAAGAGAAGGCAATTGGTCTGTCGCTTGTGTGTGTGTGGTGTATCTTTCTGTTCCCGTGAACGTATTAAAATACACGGATACGTTCTGGTGAGTGGTGACGGTTTTTTTTTTTTCTTTTTTCTTTAAAAGAATTTTCAATGCCTTTTTTTTAAATAATATAATTATTATAATTTTATAATATAATCTAATTATATATTTATTAATTTAATAAAAATTAATATTTATTAATCTTATTTATTAAAA